GGCGGCAGGATCAGGAGGAAGCTGCACACTGCATCCTCGGTCAGGAAGCAGAGAGAGGCTTGCCCATGCTCAGCTCACATCCTCTTTTTCACTCCCGACTCGCCCGTGGGGTCCTGTCACCTGGCTGAATCTAGAACTCCCTCAGGGACACACCCAGGGGTTTGTAACTATGGTAATTCTAAATCCCACCAAGTTGGCGATCAAGAGGAGTCATCCGGTGGGAATGCAGGGCCGCAGGAGGTCCACCGCAGGAGGTCCACCGGTGGGGGTGTCAGCAGGCAAGCAGCACTCCCCACATCTCAACAGTGCAGGAAACAGAGGTGTGAACACACGTGCTTATCAGGCTTTCTCAGCCCCCTTTCATGTGGTCCCGGACCCCAGCTCAAGGGACATTCCAGGCATGTCTCCCTCCTCAGTTAAGGATCCCTGAAATGTACACACACACACACACACACACACACACAGGGACATCTTCTAGGTGAAGAAAAATTTCCACATCTCTCAGCTGTCTTGGAGTTTCTGTCCAGTTTTAATTAGTCTCTGGTTATACACTTACGATTCAATGTCTTAACTAGTGTTGGGGTTACTTTGTCAGAGGGGTGTGCCAGAGTCTGGCCTTCACTGGTGCGGATCTCAAGCTACCTAAAGGATCAACTTGAGTAAGTTTCTGTTGAGTTCAAGCTTTCCTCTGTCACCAGAGTCTATATATCCTCCATTGGAGATAAGATTTTCTTCCAAAGCCGACAGACACCTCTTCTGCCTCCTCTTACCCACTGGTTCTTCGGGTCTCGGTGACATAGATGTTTCTTTAAGACTATCTCCTGGGTCGCTGTAGTCCAGAGTGGCCATTTCTGTTTCAGTATAGGTGGCACATCATCCTCTAGCACTTATCATAGTGTGTGTGTGCTTGTGCACACATACAAGTGTGTGCACTTGCACATGGAGGCCAAGCATTAACATTAGGCGACTCTATCACTCTCCATCTAATCTCTTGATTTTTTTTGTTTGTTTGTTTTGAGACAGGGTTTCTTTGTAGTCCTGGCTGTCCTGGAACTCACTATGTAGACCAGATTGGCCTCAGACTCAGAGAGATCCTCCTGCCTCTGGCTCCTGAGTGCTGGGATTAAAGGTCAGTGCCACCGTGCCTGACTCCATTTTATCATTTGAAACAGGGCTTCTCATCGAGCCTGAAACTTTCTGATTCAGTCAGACAGACTGACCAGCAGACCCTGGGCTTGTCCCGTCAGTGCTGGAATTCCAGTCAAGCCAGGGTTTTTCTACATGAGTGCTGGAGAGCAAACTCAAGTCCTCAAAAACCAAGGCGGAAAGCATTTGAAGAAAGATACCCAAGGCCAACCTTAAATCTCCACATACATGTGCACCTGTATACACACACCACACACACACACACACACACACACACACACAGAGAGAGAGAGAGAGAGAGAGAGAGAGAGAGAGAGAGAGAGAGAGAGAGAGAGAGAGAGAGATTTGCCCAGTGGCTGCAGAGGGTGACAAATTCCATCTCCAAGCTGAAGTCAGGAAAAGGCCAATGTCTCAGCTTATGGACCATCAGGCTGGGAAGATTGTCTCTTACCCAGGGGAGGGCTAGCCTTCTGTTCTCTTTAGGTTTTCAGCTGATCAGATGAGGCCCATTCACACTGAGGGGAGAGATCAGGCTTTACTCAGTCACTGAATCAATCTCACCCACAAGCCCTCACAGAAACATCCAGAATAATGTTTGACCAAATCCTTTGGCTCCTTATGGTCTAGGTCAAACTGACAACATAAAACTAAACATTACAGCATATATGTATGCATATGTAGGTATACATAACACATACTAAGAAATCTGTGCATAGGAATAGAAATTCAAAGATTCCTGTAATTCCCATTAGCTTCCCCAAGACTGTCCTCACAAACTTTCCTGTACCAGGTTGGAATTCATTTGTTTCAGCTTTTGAATGTGGTCACCATAATGCAGCACTGGATGGAAAGTGGGTCACAAATAAACTTGCAGCGTAATTATTCTGTTGACACAATTGAATAGGAGCCTCAGCTCATGATGACTGAGAAAGAAGACGTTTGCTCCCGACAATGGCCTTTGCTGTCTCTTGTGCTGGAGGTGAGATAGTTAATTGGATATTTGAACAGGAGAGACAAGGAACAAAGACTTTACAGACCACAGTGACAAAACCATTTAGAAAGGACAGCCTCCCAATATGCTTAATTCCCACGAAGGACAGATTGGTCTAGTTTTCAGTTATTATTGTTTACAAATGCAGATTCCTTCCCTTTCTGGCCTCTTAGCCCGCCCTGTCTAGTGGGGTGTGCCGCGTGAACAAGGCCCTGGAGCAGGTTCAGGTGCCCGTCCCTGGACCCCAGCACTGCCCAGGTCTCCTTCTTAGAGACAGACAGGCTTCCTAGCGGTAGGTCACATCAACCCAACAGAGCAACGTGAAATGTCGACTAGGGGACCTCTCGATTCCCAAGCCAGGAACGTTGTTTCATTTGTTGTTGTATCTCCAGAGCACAAACAGAGCCTGGCAGACACAAGGGTCAATAAATATCAATTCTACTAAACTTGGGCTCCTGACCACTCCCAGCTTTATTCTCAGCAGCCCCATTAGGTTTAATTTTAATGATTGTGTGCTTGTGTGTGTGTGTGTGTGTGTGTGTGTGTGTGTGTGTGTGCCATGATGCTTGTGTGCACCATGATGCACATGTGTGCTTGTGTGCGCTTGTGTGTGTGTGTGTGTGTGTGTGTGTGTGTGTGTGTGTGCAATGATACGTGTGTGAAGGTTAGAGGACATCTGCAATCGTTGGCCAAATTCTAACACGCTGGTGTAATCACTACAGAGGCTGAGAAATGTCTTGGTTTTATGTGGTCTGGCCATTGTCCATTCGCAGTTCACTCACAGGGATGTGACGCTGCAGCCCCTCTGCCGTCAGTGTCTGCCTCTAATGCTGTCATTACCCTTCCAACTCTCCTTTCCTCCCCCGTCTGAGTCCCCAGAGACCAGTCAAGACTCAGTCTTGGATTCTGGAAGCACTCAATGTCTTTTTCCTCTTCATCTACTCTCCAAATTATTCTTGTAGCCTCTTGGGATAGCAGAGACCTGTTTCCTTCCTACACAGTAGCGGGTCTTCCGTGTCTCCCCCCACCCCCACCTGTGTTCCAGGTGGAAAATGCTTTTGTTTGTTTCTTTCTTGTTTGCTTCATGTTCACAGAAACCAGATCTCTCTGGTCTTCTCCTAGAGGTAATCACAGAAGTTATGAAGAGCTTTGAGAAAAAGCATCCATGAGAAGTGCTATTTTATGTTTCTCTCTCCATCTTTCATGTGCATGCATGTGGTAAGCAAGTGTGTGTGTGCATGCTTTTGCAAATGTGTTCAGGCATGTGTGTACACCTGTGTGTGTGCTCATGTGGAGGCCCCAAATTGATGTTGAGAATCTTCTCCCATCTGTCTTCTGTAGCAGGAATCTTAAAAAGTCTCGCCAGTTCCTCAGCTGGTCCTATTTCCTCAGACTGGAAGCCTCTGAGTCCCTCATCCAGAATGGGTCTCAGCTGAACTGCTGCTAGAAGCCTGAAAGCTTAACCAGCCAAAAGCTTAACCAGCCAAATGCTTCTAGTTTCTGGTCCTCACGCCTTATATACCTTTCTGCTTTCTACCATCACTCCCTGGGATTAAAGGCTCACTTTTTGTAATTAAAGGCGTGAGTCACCATGCTTGGCTGTATCCTTGAACATATGTATTTCTGCCTCTGGAATGCTAGGATTAAAGGTGTGAGTGCCACCATTTTCTAGCCTTTGTATCTAGAGGCTGTTCTGTCTCTGAGCCCAGATAAGTTTATTAGGGTGCACAATATTTTGGGGAACACAATACCACCACAGTCTTCCACTTTATTCTTTGAGGTGGGGTCTCTGGTAAGCCTAGAGAGCACTGGGGTGGCTGGTCCAGGCAGCCAGGTTGTTGTGGGGAATTCCCTATCTCCACCTCTGAAGACCTGAATTGCAGGCTGGATGCCATACTGACCCCACCCACCCACCTTACATGGGTCCTAGGGACCCCAACTCCATTCCTCAAGCTTGCTTAACCTCAATGAGCTGGCACCGTCATCTCAACCTGCAAAGAGACATTTTACTCCCCAAGGAACTTTAAAATACATGAAAATTGAGGTCACCCGACATTTAAAAACTCAGTGTGAACATTTGGTGTACACAAAAGCAACTGAGCACCTTGAATTGTGTTGGCGGGAGAGCGTTTTCATCCAGTCGTAGCTATTTACCGAGCACTTCTTGTTGTGAAGGCTTTGTCTAGAGTGCTCAGAAACACCAGGGAATGATGTGACTCCCTGGCCTTCATCCCAGGAATGACTAACGAGAAGACGTACCCATACGAGGTGGCCCATGCCTGTGACCCCAGTCCTTGGAGGGTCAGGAGTTCAAGGTCAGCTCTGATGCCATAGTGCTGGGGATAGCCTGGGCTACAGGAAGACTTGTCATAACTCCGAACAGCACAGAGTAAGAAAATGACAGTGTGTTACAAGCTGGCAAGTGGCATGGAGTAAGAAGAACACAAAACAACCTAGAGGTCGTCAGGATAGAGGGACAGAGGGCAAGTTCATCTGTCTCCCTGCCTTTGGTGATACCTCATTTTGCCATGTGATTGCAAGCTTGCTGTTGAATCTCAGCGAATAAAACCACAGCAACTAAGTTATAGACCAGAGTTGGAGGGAGGTCAGGAAGGAAACACCACACACAAACATGTGCACATACACACACACATGCTCACATACACACATGCTCACACACATACACATACTCATATACAAGCATACACACACAATCACATACACACATGCTCACACACTTTCATGCACAGCCCTGGCTACATTTCTGGGAATATTGTTAACTTTTAGCCCTGAGCACAGATGTGGCTGACTCAGCTCTGAGTTCAGAGAAGCATTGTAATATGATTTGCTTATGGAGGTCATGAACCAAGTCTGGGTTTTTATTACAGGCAGCCAGTTTCTTACAGCAGGAAAGATCGTAAGAGTCATAAATCAACATCCCGTCGAGGATCATCTCTGAGATCGCCCTGTTCTCCTCGTTTGGTCCAGCAGCAGCAGCAGCAGCAGCAGCAGCAGGACCCAGGACTGGACACCACGCTCAGCCACTGACAGGACTCTGTGACTGTTTCTGCTTCACTGTCGCAGGATGGAATCGATGCTGCTTAGGAAAGGAGCAGCGCTTTTAAAAGCCGCGATGTAGTAGGAAACAAATAGCTAATGATAAACTATTCAATGTTCTAAAACCACCGTGCAGAAAAGTCCTATACTTACCAGAAACAATAATTACATTCTCCACATTTCTGTTTCTGTTTGATCCATTTGCTTTATCTCGCCTCAAGACACACAAGTTGCTTACTTGTTTGTTGTTGTGAGACGCGGTATCATATGACCTCACACTCCTCTGCAGTTAAGCCTGGCCTTGAACTCCCAATCCTCCTGTTGGCATCTGTCTAGGAATGCAATTGTAGGTGTGTGCCACCGTGCCTACGTTTTCTACTGACTCGCCCTCTGTCCATCAGCTTTCCATTGCTGCGACAAAATGCTCCATAGGAACAAGTGACTGGCGTGTGGCTTCAGTCCGTGGTTGGCTGGCTCTGCTGCTCATGTCTGAGGCAAGGTAGGAAGTAGGATATTGCGACTGCAGAGCTGTGTGGTGGAGGTGACTGCTGGGGCAAGAATAAGGCGTGATGTTGCCTAAGGACACACCGCCGAAGACCCACAGCCACGGGCAGGTAACTCGCGGATGACGTCAGAGCTCTCAGAATCCAATCGGTCGCTCTCTAACAGCTCCACCTCTGAACACCACTGCCCTGGGGTCCAAGACTTCCTCACAGGAGCCTTTGCAGACAGTTTACATACAAGCATCGCGGGGTCTGGTGTCTTTCCTACTGCAGCCTGACTTGGACTGTGCATTTCCATCTGCTGCCTCTAGGTGGGGCTATTGACAGGAAGGCCTTGTGTGCTTTGTGTCTCTTGCTAACTGGAAGCCCTCGCTAGTCCACACCAGAGTGGATCCCCCTGCAGAAGGGCAAATTGTTTACCCTTTTGCGCTCAATCACGGATCCTGAGAAGCTGGCTTCCAGAAGCTCCCCATCCTCCTGGTGTTAGGTCACTTCATGTTCCAATCGCAAATATCTAGATGCTTATTTATTTTTCAGTTCTGCAGATGCATGAGTGTTCATGTCGAACCCAGCTTTGGAAAAAGCGTTTTTATCAGCGACAGACGTGTAACTGCACTACTCTTCAGAAGTAGAGTAGTGTGTGCTCTTCCACGTTGCCTTTCCTGGGTTTGTGTTTTCTGCCCTGTTGCTGAGTGTGAATTCCTACTGGCTCTCAGCTGTCTCTCACAGAGAATTAACTCTGTAAGTCACCACACATGGGAGGATATGCCCCCAGCAGGGCCAGGGCAGCCCACCACTGATGGGTGGAGGGTTATGATGAGTAGCCCATTCACAAGGTGGGACAACTTTAGTGCAATCAACTCGAGCTTCCCAGGTCCCCATGGGACAACGAGGAGGAACTGGACTCAGTCCTGGACCACTTCTTTTCTGTAATGCCTCTCTCCTCCCCTTTCTCTCGGAGCATCTCATTAATAAATCACACGCCCCTAGATTCCTATCCCAGGCTCTCCACCCCAGGAGCCTCACCTCAAACAGGCCGTGTATGAAAAGGCATAAGCTGGGTTCAACATCTGACAGGAACTTCAGGAGGTGCCTCTGTGTGTGGAAGGCTCCACGGTTGCATTTCTGCAAAGAAAACAGGGCATGCTATGCTTTGGAGTAAGCCTAAAAGAGTTCCTTGTGCATCTCCTCTCCCCCCACAAAGTAATAGTATAATACTTGTATAATGTAGTTTCAGTGAGAACTGACTTAATGATCTAGACTCATTAAAAAAAATTAGAAATAGATTTGTGTGTGGAAAAAATGTCATGTGGAGGTTATGTAAGGCCGGATCCTGCACCAAGACCCGCAGGATGGCAGAGAGAGGACAAGTAGGGCCACCTCAGAGATTGCAGCCTGCCTGGGAGGACATCAGGAGCCATGCCTGATGCCATTCCAAACTCCATATTTTCCTGTGTCTAAGGGACAAAAAGAATTTATATATCTCAAACCCATTCTTTACAATTTTAAAAAAGATTGTATTAATGTATTATGCATGTATGTATGTGTGTGGGTGTTTTACCTGCATGTATGTCTGTGTACATATGTGTGCCTGGTGCTCATGGAGACCAGAAGAGGGCGTCATTTCCCACAGGACTGGAATTACAGATGAGGTTGTGAGCTACTGTATGGGTGCCAGGAATGGACACAAGTTCTCTACTTGAACAGCCAATTCTCTTAACCATGGGTCCACCTCTCCAGCCCCCAATCTGAACTACTTTATATCTGTCATATATAGCTAATGTAAAATAGTATAAGATAATAACATTATATCATAATGGGGTATTTTGCTCACAACATACATCCTGTGTGGGCGTGTGTGGAGGTCAGAGGACACTCTTAGGGGTTGCCCCTGAGTGTCACCTACTTTCTTCCTGAGAAGGGTCTCTTATTGGCCAAGTAGGCTAGGTGATGGCCAGGGGCCCCAGGGACCCTCCTGACTCTGCCTTCTCATCACTGAGACTATAACCTCTTGGCTTTTGAACATGGGTTCTGGGATCAAATGCAGGTCCTCACGCTTGTGATGCAAACACTTTACTGATTGGACCATCTCCCTAGCACATGAGGAATTTTCACATCACTGGCATAAATGCCGAGGTGGTGATTGCCACAATGTAAGTTAAGTCTGATTTGAGTTCTGAAGGAGACTGTGACATCTCTGTCCAAGATGATTTGGGCCACTTAAATTCCTACCAACGTATAAGTTACACCGTTTCTCTGCCTTCTTGCTGCCATTTGGTGTGGTCACCATTTTTCCTCCACCTTTTGATAGCTGTGTGCCAATATCTCAATGCAGTCCCAATGTCCATTTCTCTAGCGGCTAAAGGTACTGAGCATCTCTGGGTGCCTGTTTGTCAGTTGGGTTTATTCTTTGGTGATATATCACTTCATGTTTTTTTTGCTTGTTTGTTTTTTTGGTTTTGGTCCATTTTAAAATTGGATTACTGTCGAATGTTAAAAATTCTGTATGGATTCTAGATACGTTCTTGGTTGCGTATGTGATTTGAAGATGTTTTCTTCTAGCTTGTCATTTTTTTCTGTTCATCTTTAGTAGGATTATTCATAGAGCAGTGTTTTAAACTACCATGAGACCCAATTTCTTCATTGTCTTATTCTCTCTAGCTTCATCCAACAAATACTTATTGACTATGTACAACTTAGCCACAGAACGCTGCAGACACCTCATAGTAACCAAAGATTTGACATGGCTCTGACTTCAGTGTTACTTCAGTCAGTGAGGATCCCAGAGAATGCTTAAACAGTTAATGCCAGGTAGCTGGGGCTAAGTGGGGTGCAAGGTGCAGAGCTATGTTCTTGCCTGATGGAGAGGTAGTAGGTGACGGTTCTAATTTGCCATCTCTGTGCCAGGAAGTACCCAAAATAGCATAGTAACATTATTTATAAGTCCACTTCCTCCAGGTTACAAATGATAATTTTCATAGCTAATATATGCAAGATTTTGTTATGCACAAGACAATTTCATATGCATTGTATCAGTTAATTTAAAACATTCCAGGGCAGTAGAGAAGGTTACAGTGTTTTGTATTTGGTGAGCCTAGGACTTGGCTAGGTTAAGGGGCATGTCCTAGTTCACACCCAGGAGGAGATGAGCTCAGATTAGCACTCTAGTCTTGTGATTAAAGCTCTTTTAACTCTACCCAGCATCCTCTAGAGACATCCTTTTCCAACCAGTACAGACTCATCAATCTTCTAAGAAATAGACTGAGTTCTGTTTTAAAAGAAGATGGGTTACAGTTCCTTGTGTGCTCAAATGTCAAACAGCTTGTCTTTATAGAGGAAGATTCCATTAAAACCCATCCAGTGGTCAAGAGCATGCTGAAAACGGAAAAAAAAAAATTCTTCTCTGAGTCACAGCAGACAAAAGAGGGGATACAGCTTTCTTTTTTAAAAATTAATGTTTAGAATTTTTTATTTGGGTGCTTGTTTTTATGTATGTCACATGTATGCAGGTACCCATGGAAGACAGAAGAGAGTGCCAGATCCTTGGGAGCTGGAGTTAGAGGTAGTTGTGAGCTACCAGATGTAGTTGCTGGAAACAAAATTCAGGTCTTCTGCAAGATCAGTGGTGCTCTTAACCACCGAACCATCTCTCCAGTCCCTGGGGGGATGGATCTTACTGGAGCTTGGCTCAGGATGGAGTGAGCATGGAGGTCACAGTTTGGGACATTTTTTGCCATGATCTTGGACATCCAAATCATTTTCCAGATGCCAAACCTTTCAGATGACACATAGAAAAATCAATATTATCTCTGGTGAGGAATCAAAGCAGGCCCCTTCCCAAACTGAAGGATTGCAATGGGGTGAGGCTCCTTCTACTTTATGGGTTTCTGTTGTGGAATATTTACTTGACTATGTAAAGGTATGTTGCTTATGCTGCATTTATTTAATTATGCAAAGATGTATTGCTGTTTCACCTTGCCTGCCTGTGGCACCTGATTAGTCTGATAAAAAGCTGAATGAGCCGGGCGGTGGTGGCGCACGCCTTTAATCCCAGCACTCTGGAGGCAGAGGCAGGTCGATCTCTGTGAGTTCGAGGCCAGCCTGGGCTACAGAGTGAGTTTCAGGACAGGCTCCAAAGCTACACAGAGAAACCCTGTCTCGAAAAACAAAAAACAAAAAACAAAAAAAACAAAAACAAAAAACCCGCTGAATGATCAATAGCTAGGCAGGAGAGGGATAGGCGGGACTGGCAGGCAGAGAGAATAAGTAGGAGGAGGAATCTAGGCTCAAGATAGATGATAGATAGATAGATAGATAGATAGACAGACAGAGAATGAGGAGAGAATGAGAAAGAAAGAGAGACACCTAGGGCTGGCCAACCAGACACCAACCAGCCATGGAGGAAGCAGGAAAGTAGAACATACAGAAGGAAAGAAAGGTAAAAAGCCCCGAGGCAAAACATAGATGAAGAGAAACAGGTTAAATTAAGTTATAAGAGCTAGTGGGACAAGCTGGAGCTAAGGCCGAGCATTCATAATTAATAAGTCTCCGAGTCATGATTTGGGAGCTGGTTGGTGGCCCAAAAAGAAAGCCTGCTACAGGCTTCCATTAGTACACTCTTCCTCTTATTTGGGATCTTGCTTAAATCCTTTAACGATTCTTCCCTTCTTTCAAAATCCTTAGGTGAGACGTTAGGACTGAGAGTCTGAGAGTCTGCATGAGACAGTTACATACCAAGGCAACTTTGCAAAGACTGTGTCAAATAACCTTTGAGCCCAGCCCTGACTCCTAGGAAGCAGCCCTACTGAGTCTGTGAGAAAAGAAGCCCTTTGACAGTCTACACTCATAAATCTACCTTGTGGGGTTAGGATCCAGCTTCAGAAGCTGAGATCATCACCAGGTCTGGGGAAAGTGAATCTCTCTGCCACTTCGGGGCATGCCCCCAGATTCTATATTCTACCCCAGTGACATCCATGCTCCTTATGCTCTGTTCACAATAGCAAGGAAATGGAAGTGGCCTACCTGTCCATCAACAGACGCATGGACAATGAAAATGTGGTGTATGAACACCATGGGGTTTTATTCATCAGTGAAGAAAAATGGAATTATGAAATTTTGTGGAAAATGGATGGAACTGCAGTATATTATATTAAATGAGGTTAACCCAGGCCCAGAAAGAGAAGTGCTGAGTATCATCTCTCATATGTGGGTCCTAGCTTATAGTGTGTGTGTGTGTGTGTGTGTGTGTGTGTGTG